TAATAGCCATTTCAAATAATACTTGCTTGAAAGAAGATTATGAGAGCTGATCCAAGATGTATTTTTTGCACAAGTAAAGTACTTTATATATTCAATTTGATTCCATTTTGGACATACTAAGTTTCTGAGAAGTTTCAGGAGTTAAATGAGATATCCCCAAATGAATTCAATACGAATGTTCTGTTTTTTTTGGTTTTTATGTGGATGAAGTAACCTACTGATCTTTTGCAGCGTTTTTGAAAACCTTCTGAGTCAATCTGAGACGGCAAAGAATCAAAAAGAAGGTGCTGATCTGAAATTAAAAATCAGAATTTAATTTAATTTTTTTATTGATCATTAGAAACACTTATCAGTTTTGCCATAATGAAAGCCTTTATTACAAGTTTTAGAGCATAATTACATTCCAGAAAGATTTATGTATCTAGTAATTCTGTAACTTGAAAGTTAATAGCCATTCCAAATAATACTTGCTTGAAAGAAGATTATGAACGTTTAAGTCAAACATGATTGTGGAAGATTAGCCATGAAAGCCGATAGCAGCATAAGAGTGGCACAAACTACCTGTTCCACCCACCAGAAGTCAGCTATTATACCTTATGTGTGAAGCCACTGTGCTCTTACTAGTTTACTTAGACGCTCGATAGCAGCATAAGAATGACACAAACTACCTGTTCCACCTGCCAGAAGTCACCTATTAGACCTTATGTGTGAAGCCACTGTGGTCTTACTAGTTTACTTAAACGCTTGTACATTTTCAGGGAAAGAAATCTGCTAGGATTGGTCAGTTGAGCTTCCCAAAATCAACACGTGTCCTGTAAATGCTCACCTTCCACTTTATATTCACTATAACTGATGATGTTTATAGATACCATCTTTCAAACATTTAGTCTACCTAAGCACTGTAAACCACCCATGTTGTTAAATCCATTTTATACAGATTTTCTTTTTATTGGATGAGTATTACCAGTGTCTTCTGATTGCTTAATGACTGAAGTTCGACCCGATCACCTCTTTGGACCTACCCACTCTCATAGCACTTTCATAAGATTTCTTCTCAGCTGTCACAGTACGCTCCTCATTTACCATAATTATAGTGAAACAAATTCCACAGCTGGGATTTAGTAGTGATGATGAGAACAGAAGCCTACCACCAACTAGAGGGATTTGCTCGAGCCAAGTGATAGTAGATGTTTGAGTCGTTCAAATCCCCGAGAATACTGCTTGATTGATTTAAGACAAATATATTTCATTAAGTAGTTCTGGCCAGTCGACGCATTCTTCACTTTTAAACCGATATACCGTGTATATATTTGTAAACAGGTAGCCACCCACATAGACTGTTGGAATTCTCCATGAATATAGGATGTTCATACTTAGCATTCTTTTGGGTGATAAACACTAATTCATTTTTACAGTTAACTTTGTGAAGCAAGGACCTCCATACTTGTACTATGTTAAAATGTACTTAGAATGAACTCAAGCCAGTAGTTGGGAAAAAATTTGTTGTTTACTTAGTGCGGTCTAATTGGGATAATTCGTCTATTAAGGTTCTTATATGTCCTCACATAAATATGCCAGTATGAGTACTTTTGATCGAGTGATTCGCGGCATCATAAATGGTGCACTTCTCCCCGTGTTACATTCATTAAGCCATAAAAGTTGCTAATAACTGTGCTCCCATCTTCTGGGCAAACTAAACTAAATTCTTTAGTGTTTTCTAGACTATTGGGTAGTTTGTATTATAGAATTTCTATACTTTGATCAGCTTTATCAAAAATTGTAAAAAAAACGCATTTTCTTGTAGAGTAATTGTGTCACAAATCACAATATGTTGTTGGAAAGCTTCAAGCGAGATCTATTCATTTAGTTTGATGATAACAGCCTATTTCCAATACAAGAGTTCAAGCTTTGCGGTATTCTTTGCTATTAAACTTCCTTAAGGCATATGTATATCTGGCAAGGTTCTTCCTTGGCTCTAAATGAAATTGGTGAATTGGCTGCTTTTTCTGTGAAGAATATTTTCTTCACCTCATTCATTATTGTGTTTCAGTTGTTCAAGACACCTAAATAGTTACTGGTCCGATTTTCTGATTACTAGTACGTTTTAAGCAGCCATTTAAATATGACTCTGTTTGTAACAAAGCATAAACATCATCAGAATAGGATATTTGTTGCACTTTTAAAGCAAGGTGATTTCTGATAATCTTCTTTGGTGGAAACTTAGGTCAGACTACTTACTCAAAAGCTAGTTTTAAGAGCATGTAGGGTTACAAACTAATATATTCAACTGCCTTTTAGTGGTTATAATCTAACTGCAGTTTATCTACAACTATTTGTCAGGACAGTCAATTTCGTAATTTAGTTAAAATTTGTTTGTTTGTTTTAGAACAAGGTTTGTTTGTTTT